CAGCGCCCCGCGCCCGACTGGGCGGGGCCGTGGCTGCCCCTCGGGTGTCGGGCGGGATCCGGGAGGAAGCGTGCCCTTCCCCACACACCCTCGGAGGCGCGTTCCGGGGACGCGAAGCCCGCAGGCCCGCCGAGGGGCGTAGGGCGCGCCCCTGAAACGGGCGGTTCTCCCAAGGGCTCCCCTCCCGCCAGCTGAGCGGGCCAGGGTCGGCTCGGGCCACCAGTGTCCTGAGAAGGGCCGGGCCCGCTTCCGTCTTCCTCACCTACTCGCGGTTGGTCGGGCGGGAGGGGAATGCTGAAAAATGAGCATTTCTGATACTCCCCAAGCCCCGAGGTGCCCCGCGGCAGTTAAACTGCCCGTCCTGGGACGTGAAGGTGAAAAGCGGCGCCACAGGGACCCCCGGAGTGATCCGGATCGGCCCTTCCCCTCCCTTCTCCTGGTGGGGAGATGACGTTGGGAGACTCCCTCGGCGGGTGTGGACCGAGTTCCTCGGGGGCCCTCTCGGCCAGTCCTGGGAACGCGTACCTTTATTCTGACCCGGGTGCGCCCCGGGGACCTCCCGCGGGCTGCGCGAGCTGAGAGGAAGCTGGCTGGGAGGCAGGGGGAGCTGGAGGAGGCTTTGAGATCTGGGGACAGCCTGTGGGAGTCCGGGTGCAAGGGTGCAGAGGCTGGAGAGTGTACGGTGGAAGGTGCCGCTCTGAGACGTGTAGCCTAGGTGGCTACCAGGAGTGTTTTCTTTTGAAAGGACAAAGCTTTTTTAAAATAATAAAATACAATGCAGATATTAAATATATAAAAAGTTAGCAGTGAAGAGGTTTCCTCCCACCCCATTCAGCCATCTTGCTAGTCCCTACTTACTTAGGCAACCTTTTGTTTATGTATTTGCATGTATCCTTCCAGGATTTCTTTATGCAAATACTGACAAATGTGAATGTTAACTTAGTTTCCCTTTTTCTAGACAGGGTTAGAGTACTCTAGACCATTTTGTTGCTTGCTTCTTTCACTTCATCTTATACATAACAGAACACAGAGGTTCGCTTTTGTTTTACAATGCGTTGGTATTGCATAGGCCATTATTTGAATGTTTTGGATGTTCTGTAATTTTTAAGACCATGCATGGACATTTGGGTTATTTCCACTTTCTTCTTACTTTACACACTGGAAAAACTCAATGACATGGCAGAGCAGGGGTTTTTAAAGAAGGTGCTAAACAATCAAAAATAAGTTTTGTTTCATATTAACTCAACTAGTCACTGGCAAATTGTTAAATGTGATAGTCATTATTACAACTTGTAAAGAATGTTTTTAAAACAAACAAAACTAAGTAGCCTTTCCTCCCAAGGTTTATGTTTATATTAATCTTATACTAACCCAATAGACCAGTTCTATAAATGACTCTTGAAGGAATTCGGTGCCCCTTGAGCTTCAGAAAACCTTTCAGTCTCCCTCTTAGAATCTCCCTTGCTTACATTATTTTTGCTCAAGGTATGAGAATATTCCATGTTTTACTTTAAGACAAAATCACCATTATTACTTATTCCTACTTTTAAGCAATAGAACCAACTCACTTTAATTAACCATTTACAAATCTGATATTGATAAATACAGCAATAATCAAATTGCAATCCATATTCTCTTTTTTTTGCCCGTCGCTTCTCTTATACTACCCTTGGTCCCACCTTTCATTTCTCTCATCCTCTGCTTTACTGGGGCCTCTTTATTCTGACATGGTAAGCATTTTGTGGTTGCACTCTCTCCTGCTTTCTCTTTGTCTTTCTCTGGTCATCTTCAAGTCAAATATAGAATTCAAGAACTAAAGGTATAGAATCCAAATGTGACACTTGAGATGGTGGATGACTTGAGTATGGAAATCCAGACTAGCTGCTGCAGGTTGCGCCTGTTGCTTGTCAGTATGTTGTTAATAAGAAGCAGTTTTGGCCAGAATGAGCCACAGTTCATCGCTTGTGCATTGTATAGGCTCTTGGGAAATGACTCCTGAGACTCCAGGGCAGGGTCAGCAAGACTTAAGGGCAGGGTTTTTGTTGTAGAGAGATTTTTGCTATAGGCCACCCCGTAATCCCTTTTCATGTACTCGCTAGAATGATAAGAGAAACAGAAAGTGAGAAATCAACCCCCCAGGAAGATGGCCATGCTGTAATCCCTTCCCTTTTCCTCTGTTCTCTTCTTGGGATTTTGGGCACACACGCACAGATCCGATGTGAGGTGTTTTTGTTTGTTTGTTTGTTTGTTTTTAAGAGAGATTTTTGCTATAGGTGCATGCACTGGCCAGAAAGACAGAGAGACAGAAAGCGAGACATTACCCTTCAGGGGGGATGGCCACGCCGCCGTCCCTTCCCCTCCATTCTCTTCTTGGGATCTTGGGCATGCACGTACATGTGCCCTGTGTGAGTTTAATCCACTGGGTCCAGAACTCGACCTGCGGTCGACTACTTGGGAGTCCAGCGACATAGCCATTACACCAACTGCTGGTCCCAATTTCAAACTATTTTCTTTCTTTTTAAAAATTTTCTGCCTGAAGGTGTGTACACTTGCCAGAAAGAAACTGAAGGGGGTAGTGACAGAGCTCCTACCCCCCACATGGTATGCCATTATATGCATGTACCATAGTTCATTTAACCAGTCTCTTATGCATAGACATTTAGGTAGTTTTCTGGATTTTTCAGTAATAATGAATCCCAATAATGAATAACATTATGTATGTATACTTTTGTATTGTTGGAGGTGTACCATCAGTATAAATTCCTAGAAATGGGATTACTGGATTGAAGGGTAAATTGATACATAGTTTTGTTAGATATTGGCAGATTCTCCTCAGTAGGGGATTGTCAATTTGCTTTCCCAGCAGTGTATAAGATCCTGTTTCCTCTATAATTGTCAAGCTCTAAATATTTATTTGCCTATCTGATAAGTTTGGAATGATATTTTACTGTAGGTTTTATTTGCATTTCTCTTATCATGAGTGAAGTTGATTATTTTTTCACATGTTACAAGCCGTGTTACTATTTCTTGTTGTGAATTGTCTATTCATGTCTTTTGCTCATTTTTCTGTAGATTTTTAGTCTTTTCCATTAATCTTTGAAAATTCTTTATGTATTAGGAGTATTGGCCCTTATATATGATTATGTTACAGATATTTCTTATACTTGTCATTTATTTCTCAGTTTTTTATGCTAGTTTTACCATGTAGTTTTATTTTTAGGTAGTTAAAATATTAGTCTTTTCTTTAAATCTCTAGAGGGACCTACCAGAGAGAGGGAAAGATGGAGGGAGAGGCAGAAAGCCCCATCCAATGGGATATCATCATCCCGCCATCCCTTCTCCATTTTCCATCCTGTCAGAATTTAGAATTTTCATGCATACATACCCTGTGTGATTTTCAAGCCACTAGGAACAATACTCAAACTGTACTCAGCCATGTGGGATCCAGATTCCCTTAACCACTATACTATGGGACCAGCCCATCAGTTTTTAATTTTGTTTTGTTTTGTTTTATTGCATCTGAGTCATAGTTTACATTTTTTCTCTGTACCCAGACCACAGAGACATTCACCTGTTCTTCTAGTATTTGTATAGCTTTTTTATACTTTTTTTTTTTTTAAGATTTTTTTGTTATAGGGTGCATGCAAACTACAGAGACAGAAAGCAGGAAATCAGCCCCTAAGGAAAATGGCCACACTGCAGTCCTTTCTCCTCAGGATTTTGAGCATGCATGCAAACGTGCCCCGCATAAGTTTAAGCCTCCGGGTCCAGGACTAGAATCACTGTTGATTAAGTGGGAGTCCACCAATGTAACTATTACACCATCTACTGGTCCCAGAAGATCTAAATTTAACAAAGTGTAATCACAATTGTCTGTTACTATCTAAAACTGAGGTGTAAGTAGCTTTGAACTCTTCTGTTTGTTCTGAGTGGTCTGTGTCAGTAGGTGGATGCTGATAGATTGTCAGTTATGTGTAAAGTGCCTTCAAGGGAACCAAGAGACCCTGCCTAGATCCTAAAATATGCTTTGAGGAAGAGTTTACATTTCCTGGGACCAGCAGTTGGCGTAACGGCTATGTCGCTGGGCTCCCATGTAGTCTACTGTGGTTCAAGTCCTGGACCCAGTGGCTTAAACTCATGCTGGACATGTGTGCGTGCATGCCCAAGATCCCGGGAGGAGAACAGAGGAGAAGGGATTGCAGTGTGGCCATCTCCCCAGGGGGTGATTTCTCACTTTCTGTCTCTCTGTCTCTTGAGTGAGTGCATGCATCCTATAGCAAAAAAAAAAAAAAAAAAAACTCTCAAAAAAAGAAAAAGAGAGAGCTTACATTTCCTGAATCATATGCTTTACTCTCAAATTCTGACCCTTATCCAATAATGTCTTCAAATTCTTTTTTTTCTTTTTTTTTTTTGGTTTTTGCCATAGGGCATATGTGCTCACCAGAGAAAGAGAGACAGAGAGAGGGAAAATGAGAAATTACCTGTCCAAGGGGATGGCCACGTCACAATCCCGTCTCCATTCTCCTTTTGGGATTTTGGGCACACAAACACAGCACCCGGTGTGATTTTCAAGCCACTAGGTCCAGGACTCAAACCACGGTTGACTATGTGAGTCCAGTGCCTTAACCACCACGCCACCTGCTGGCCCCTAGCTCCTATTATTTAGCAATTTCTTCTATCTTTTTCCATTACTAGGTGACATTCAAAAATTGATCAGTGTTGCCTTTGGTTCTGTGCATCATTTATCCTCATGAAAGAATAGAAAAGCTCTTTCTTCCATTGAAAATTAAGAATCTGGCATTTTAACATTAGTTCCATAGTGGCAGAAATTTTGTCATGTCTACCATTGTATCCCCAGTACTTAAAAATGGTACCCTTCACACAGCATGCAGTCAGTGTTTGTCAGGTGAATGAGTGAATTTTGATGAGATTCTTCCATTTTTTTCCTAAACAAAATTAATAAGCATTATTTTCATTTTCTTGGTTTAGTGTCACATTTGAAGACAGGCACTGAGGATGAAGAATCAACTGAAAAGTATGAAAATACTGGAAATGCAGAGTCTAAGTGGCCAAAAGTGGAAGGTCTTCACAAGGGTCATATGCAGGAATCTAAGACTGGTGAAACCTGTGCTTGGGATAGCAACGTAAAGCATCAGCTCGAAAAGCCTGAGGGAAAAAGAATGAAGGAGGACCAAAGTGGCATCAGGGAAAAGGTGGGCAAAGCCAGGAACATAGAAGGTATAAAGACAGAACAAGTTGATGAGACATCTGAGAAAAGCTTACTTCTGAGCCCAGAGCATGCTCTACATCAGACCATCCCTGCGGAACAGAAAAGCAGTGACCAAGGCAAGTGCTTGGGGAACATGAATGGAAACGCACAGTCCAGTCCACAGCAGAAAACCAGTGCTGGTAAGAAAGCACATAAATGTGATGAGTGTGGGAAATCCTTCAAATATAATTCCCGTCTTGTTCAGCATAAAATAATGCACACTGGGGAAAAACGCTATGAGTGCGATGACTGTGGAGGGACTTTCCGGAGCAGCTCAAGTCTTCGGGTTCACAAACGGATCCACACTGGGGAGAAACCATACAAGTGTGAGGAATGTGGCAAAGCGTATATGTCCTATTCCAGCCTTATAAACCACAAAAGCACTCATTCTGGGGAGAAGAACTGTAAGTGCGATGAGTGTGGAAAATCTTTCAATTACAGCTCTGTTCTGGACCAGCATAAAAGGATCCACACTGGGGAGAAGCCCTATGAATGCGGCGAGTGTGGGAAGGCCTTCAGGAACAGCTCTGGGCTTAGAGTTCACAAAAGGATCCACACCGGGGAAAAGCCCTATGAATGTGACATCTGTGGGAAAACCTTCAGTAACAGCTCTGGCCTTAGAGTGCACAAAAGGATCCATACAGGCGAGAAGCCGTATGAATGTGATGAGTGTGGGAAGGCCTTCATTACTTGCAGAACACTGCTGAATCATAAAAGCATTCACTTCGGAGATAAACCCTATAAATGTGATGAGTGTGAGAAATCTTTTAATTATAGCTCTCTCCTCATTCAGCACAAAGTCATCCACACTGGAGAGAAACCTTATGAATGTGATGAATGCGGGAAGGCTTTCCGGAACAGCTCAGGCCTCATCGTGCATAAAAGGATCCACACTGGAGAGGAACCTTACAAGTGTGATGTCTGTGGTAAAGCATTTAGCTACAGCTCAGGCCTTGCAGTCCATAAAAGCATTCACCCTGGGAAGAAAGCCCATGAATGTAAGGAGTGTGGGAAGTCCTTCAGTTACAATTCACTGCTTCTTCAGCATAAAACTATTCACACTGGAGAGAGACCTTATGTATGTGATGTGTGTGGGAAAACTTTCAGAAATAATTCGGGTCTCAAAGTCCACAGGAGGCTCCATACCGGGGAAAAACCATATAAATGTGATGTGTGTGGGAAAGCCTATATCTCACGCTCTAGCCTTAAAAATCACAAAGGAATCCATCTTGGGGAGAAGCCCTATAAGTGTAGCTACTGTGAGAAATCTTTCAACTACAGCTCTGCCCTTGAACAACATAAAAGGATTCATACAAGGGAGAAACCCTTTGGGTGTGATGAGTGTGGAAAAGCCTTCAGAAATAATTCTGGCCTTAAAGTACATAAACGAATCCACACTGGGGAGAGACCTTACAAATGCGAAGAATGTGGGAAAGCCTACATCTCACTCTCAAGCCTTATAAATCATAAAAGTGTACACCCTGGGGAGAAGCCTTTTAAGTGTGATGAGTGTGAGAAAGCCTTCATCACATACAGAACCCTTATAAACCACAAAAAAATTCATCTTGGTGAGAAGCCCTGCAAATGCGACATATGTGAGAAATCTTTTAATTACACCCCACTACTTTCTCAGCACAAGAGGGTCCACACTAGAGAGAAACCCTATGAATGTGACAGGTGTGAGAAGGTATTCAGAAACAACTCAAGCCTTAAAGTTCATAAAAGAATCCATACTGGGGAGAAGCCCTATGAATGTGATGTGTGTGGAAAAGCCTACATCTCACACTCCAGCCTTATCAACCATAAAAGTACCCATCCTGGCAAGACACCTTATGCTTGTGATGAATGTGGAAAAGCTTTTTTCTCAAGTAGAACTCTTATAAGCCATAAAAGAGTCCATCTTGGGGAGAAACCCTTCAAGTGTGTCGAGTGTGGCAAATCTTTCAGCTACAGCTCACTCCTTTCTCAGCACAAGAGGATCCATAAGGGGAGAAGCCCTATGTGTGCAATAGGTGTGCGAAGGCATTCAGGAACAGCTCAGGCCTCACTGTGCATAGAAGGATCCACACAGGTGAGAAACCCTATGGATGCGATGAGCATGGGAAGGCATACATCTCACATTCAAGTCTTATCAACCATAGAAGTGTCCACAGTGGAAAGCAGCCCTATACTTGTGAGTGTGGGAAACCCTTCAATTATAGATCAGTCCTTGACCAACACAAAAGGATTCACACTGGCAAGAAGCCATACCGATGTAATGAATGTGGTAAGGCTTTTAATATCAGATCAAATCTCTCTAAACATAGGAGAACCCATACTGGAGAGGAACCTTTAAAGGTGATAAATGTTGGCAGTCACAGTGGGGCAGCTCAGAAAAGAACCTATGAGGGAGGGAAAACTGGATGGGGCCAGGACAAGGATGCCTCTGTAGGAGGCACAGGTTATCAAATCTCAAAGTATTCAAATGAAAGAAAAATCTTAGGAGTGTCAAAATGTCTGAAGTCCTTATTCATGGCTTATAATTTACATAGAATAAATGGAGTCATTTGAGATGATCATGAGTAATCTTTTCCATGTGATTTTCAGTCTCAGCTTGCAAGGAAGGCCCCAGTGTCAAGGTAGTTGAATCCTTCTAGAATATAAAACGGTTCATACTTGGGGTAAACCTATCAAAGTGATGGAATATGGAAAGGATCTCTAAGCAGATATTTCTGGAGATAAAACAGATGAGGAAAGGACTTCAGTCAGAAGTAACAGTCTCCATCAGATAGTTCACATTTGGGTAAATGTCTATGAATAGAAATGTAGAAAGTTTAAATATAGCTTTGAATCCCAGTTATGCAGTGGTCAGGCGGAAAATATCTAAGAGCCTCTAGTAGCAAATACAGGGAGAGATAGGCTTTAGTGGAATACAAATTTATCTAATAGTAATGGTTATGAAGCATAAACTTGATATGGTTAAATTATTTGCATAGGTGGGGGAGTTGCAACAAGTTGAAACAAAGTTTGGGTTTTCTTGTAAGAAAAACTTAAATGTGACAGAAGAGGACCTGCTAGTAGTGTGGTAGAAGGCAGGTGGATCCCACATGGCCACCTGTGCTGTTTTATTCCCAGACTGAGCAGCTTGAAAAAAACACCAGGTGTGTGTGCATGCATGCCCAAAATCCCGAGAGGAAAATGAAGGAGAAGGGATTGCAGTGTGGTCATCCCCCACTGCGGTGATTCCTTCTCTTTCCTTTAAAAAAAAAAAAAAAGTCCCTTTAAAAATGCAAGCTGATTAGAATGTACTGTTTTAATACACTAGTTAAATGGGTGAAACTGAGAAGTTTCAAATGAGCCCGCTTAGTGAGTGGTGACTGTATGATGAGTGAAAACCTGGAAGGTGGTATTCACACATTATGCTAGGGTAAAAGGTCTACAGTGGAGAGGATTTGGGCACATTCGGTAACAAATGGAACAGGTGTTCGGTGTGAATTTGCACCTTTGTTGAGAGCAAGAATGACTTCGGGGATTCCTGTGAATAGGAAGGAGAGCATTTTATAGCAGGATCTAAAAAGTTAGTAGCTATCCGTAATCTTGAGAGGAGGACATTCATGTTTCTTAATAATGCTGTTAAATATTTGATTGTTTTGGAATGTATTATTGTAAAGATTTAATGCACTACATGTGTATATTGTCTGTTGTAAAAAGTTACGAATATTTTGTTCAGGGTTTACTCTCTTTTCCATAAAGACCAGATAGTCATGGTAAGGAAAGGCAGAATTCCAATAAAAAATCCGCAAGTGTAAACAGGCTGTGACTTACTTGAGAGATGGAGAGACTGTATGTGTCAGAGACATTACATGTCAGATCTTCATGGGATAAGTTACACCAGATCCAAACCAGGCAGAACAGAAGAATCAAGCCATAGGGATAGTATGGCTCAGATTTTACCAGAAATTAGATGGTGTTTCCACCAGAAATGAGAACAGATTTTGAGGGGACCACGGGTAAGCAATGTTGTCCTCTTACAGGGGCTAGATCCTAACATCCAGGAATGGGAAGGCTCTGAATTACTACCACACAGAAACAGTTCTGTCAGGAACAGATAGAATTTAGATAATGTTAGCTACGTTTGAAGTTATTAACTAGGTAGCTCAAAAGGTAAAGATAGACTCTTCTGAGAGTAAAGTAACCTGTCCAGGAATATTATGGGTGGATCCTATAAGTAGAATTCTAAGTCTGGTCGCTCTGGTTTCATAATTCACTGTCATAAGAGAACAATCTCTAGCCAGGTTGTTTCCTGTCTCTAGGATTCCTGTTTCTTAGTAGTTGCCATGACTCTCTCTAAGGAGTATAATTCTTTCACTTTGTTCCCAAAACCCCACCAGTAAGGGGTTTTTTTTGTTTGTTTTTTTTTAAGAATTATTTTATTTAACTTTATTATTATTTTCCAGTTTGATCAGAGAGAGACAAAGGGAGAGAGGGAATGTAAGAAAACAAGCCGCCAGGTCCAGGACTTGAACTGGAGTCAGCCATGTGAGAGTCCAGCACCTTTAACCACCATGCCACCTACACCGTTTCTCTGTCCTCTACATGAGACACTTGCAAACCTGACCTTATTCACAGACTTGGATTAATTTATTGAGCAAATGCTCATTGAGGATCTGCTAGGAGCAGTCTATTCTAGTCACAGGGTAGGGACAGG